GAGGGCAGGCTAGCAGAGGCCATTTGGGAGTTGAGAGAGAGGAGGGCAGGCTCAGAGACCATTTGGGAATTGAGAGAGGGAGGGCAGGCTAGCAGAGACCATTTGGGAATTGAGAGAGGGAGGGCAGGCTAGCAGAGACCATTTGGGAATTGAGAGAGGGAGGGCAGGCTGCAGAGACCATTTGGGGGTTGAGAGAGGGAGGGCAGGCTAGCAGAGGCCATTTGGGGGAGTTGAGAGAGGGAGGGCAGGCTAGCAGAGACCATTTGGGAATTGAGAGAGAGGGAGGGCAGGCTTGCAGAGACCATTTGGGAATTGAGAGAGAGGGGCAGGCTAGCAGAGACCATTTGGGAATTGAGAGAGGGAGGGCAGGCTAGCAGAGGCCATTTGGGGATTGAGAGAGGGGGGCAGCTAGCAGAGACCATTTGGGAATTGAGAGAGGGAGGGCAGGCTAGCAGAGACCATTTGGGAATTGAGAGAGGGAGGGCAGGCTAGCAGAGACCATTTGGGAATTGAGAGAGGGAGGGCCAGGCTAGCAGAGACCATTTGGGAATTGAGAGGGACGGGCAGGCTAGCAGAGACCATTTGGGAATTGAGAGAGGGGGCAGGCTAGCAGAGACCATTTGGGAATTGAGAGAGGGAGGGCAGGCTAGCAGAGACCATTTGGGAATTGCATCCTTATTTCCAGTCGCTCCCTTTCCAACCTGTGAATGGTGCAAATCTTTCTTTCCCTTCCCCCGATTCGTGTGACCTTTTTGGCGATCGAGGTGGGGGTGAGGGAATTGTATGTGAATGTGAATGGTATTGGGGGTAGGGTAGGGGGAAGTGTCTCTCTCTCGCTCTCCCTCTCTCTCTCGTTCTATTGGTGTCCTTGTCCCAGATCCCTACCCTTCCATCTATTCATTCGCCACCATCACTTTTATGGGAGGGTTGGGGCGGCGGACTCGTCAAGGAGGGAAGGGTGTGATTGGTGTGAAAGGCGGCTACGCGCCTTTACAAGTTACGGCCAGAGGAGCGATGCGGAATCTGAAAAACCAGTTAATTTGTTTAAGGGGAGCCTGTAAGCTAATAGTAGCTCGTAGTGAGAGGAGATTTCTCAATGGTCTCTGCTAGTTAGCCGCGAGACCTATTAGCAGTAAAATTCCTGGGCTACTCTTCCAAAATACTTCGATTTCCGCAAAAAATTCCGGCTCGCCTGCCCTCCCTCTCTCAATTCCCAAATGGTCTCTGCTAGCCTGCCCTCCCTAAATTAGTTCTCGGCCCCTTTAAAACCCTCCTCCCCCTAGTATCGGCCCGCCGAATCTTGTGGCTCCCGAATTGGAGGCCATTCTCCCAGGGGCCGACCGTCGCGATGATTCGCCTGTAGAGAGAGAGAGAGAGAGAGGAGAGAGAGAGGGAGAGAGACTCCTCCCCTCGATCTCCTCCTCCCCTTCACTCTCTCCTCTCTCCTCTCTCCTCATGCTCTCTCATCTACTGTACGCGATGCATCGTATCGACCGTTTCCGCGGCCATCCACCGGCTCGCCTCCGTTTTTTCGGAGTTTAAATGGGGTTTAATTTTAAAGGGATGGGGTCAGGGGTCATCTCTCTCTCTCTCTCTCTCTCTCGCTCTCTCATTCTATAAAATTTTTTCAGAGATGAATATCATCCAGGGCATCCTCTCTTCCGTAAAGCCCCTGCCGGACAGGTAATAATTTTTAAAGGAACCGGCAAGGATGGCTATAGATTTTTGGCGATGGATTCTTATGGATTTTGTATTGCCAACCCCTTTAAAATTCAAATTCAAATTCAAGCGTTTAGCGATTTCTCCGATCGTCTCTCCTATGTCTATTCGACGCTGGGCCTGATCGTCGGCTCGGCTTTTGTATCGGGCTGGAGGTAAATTAGCATAATTTAGCGTAGACTTTAAGGTTTTAAGGTGTGATTTTTCATATTTTAAAGTTAAAAAGAATTATTTAAGCTTTTTAAACGCAAATTTTACGCCGATAATTACGTGTTTTTTCAGCTTTGTCGGCAGCCCAATCCAGTGCTGGTTCCCGGCCTATTATAAAGGTATGGTAATTCAGGGTTATGGTTAATTTAGGTTTTAGATAGATTTTTACAGTTAAAAAAACTTATTAATAAAATTAATAACACAATTTTTCAGGATGGTGGATGGAATACGTGTTAGACTATTGTTATGTACAAAATACGTATTTTCTACCGTTTACAGAAATAAAGGTAGGTGAGAGAGAGAGCGACAGCGAGAGAGAAAGAGAGAGACAGACAAAGCTCGATTTTTTAGCCCCAAAACGAGTGGGATTTCGCGAATCACATCGTGCCATACCCGAAAAATATCACCGAGCGAGAGGACAAGCAGCTAGGTGGGTTTTAAAGGAGCCGACAAGGCTTGGTTAGGGAATTTATGAGCTCTAGAGGCCGCAAAATCCATAGGCATGACTTGCCTGGCCCTTTAAAGGCAATTTCAAGCAAAACTATATTTTTTTAGGGTATTACCAATGGGTGCCATTCATCCTCGCTCTCCAAGCCTTCCTCTTCTACCTGCCGATTCTCATCTGGAGAACGGTTTATGAGGGGACCGGTATGTTTTTATCTTTACTTATTTATTTTCACCTGTTTTTGCATGTTTGGTCGTTTTAAAGGGATTGACAAGCTTGGCTACGGCCATGAATTTTCTGCGTAGCATGTCGCGGGGGCTACTTAGAACGCATGTGTCTCTTGCGTCACGTTTAGAGCTCATAGTCGATTATGCAACAACAAACGGGGCGCACGTTGCGTGTCGCGGACCCAAAAAAAATTCATCAAAAATCATGGTTCTGATTTTTGCCGCGCCCGGGAGACGCAACGCATGCGTCGGTTTGCTCACTTGCGCCACGTTTCGAGCTCGTGCTGCATTACCCAGCGAAAAACGGAGCGTGCGTTGCGTGTCGCGTGCTAAGTGCGACTCTTAGGGCCCGCAAGCCGCAACGTGCGCTTCTTCTCGGATTTGAGCTCGTAATCCATTACGCAGCGAAAATCGGCGGCGTTGCGGATCGCGGGCGGAATAAATTTATAGGAAACCAGCGCCCAAAACCCGCTTCGCGGGCCTTGGGCGCTGGAATTCGGCCTTGCATGAAAAATTTAAATTTCTGATAGCTCGGGTCCTTCGGACCCCCTTTTCCCACCGACCACACACGCGCGTGCAAATTGCAAGAATGAGGAAATTTGTATTTCTTTCACATTATGCAAATTATCCCTCCCGGACCCCCAAAATGAATAAAACCGGCTTTAACTTTGTAAACCTGTATTTTATCGGAATTCTGAAAACACCATCGAAAAGAGGAGGGTCCATTCCCCCTAGTGTCAAAGAATTGGGGCATTTTGGACACGGGAAGGCCCTCAAATCTGGCCTCAAAACTGACCTCCGCACACACACACACACACACACACAAAAAGATACGCGACCAAATTATATAAGGTAGGATCGATAGCGAGTTCCTGGCTTCCAAGTCCCTTTAAAATTACCTAAAAAATAACATAAATTTTTATAGGCTTCAAGATCGCTACGATCTGCCAGACATGCGCTATTGCTCAGAATATGGAGGAGAAGGACAGGGAGAAGAATATGCGAATTGTGTCCGGATTCCTCGTTTATGAGCATTCTGTGGCAAAGTAAGGATGGTTAAAAGTTAAAGTTAACCATTCTTTTTATTTCATAATAATTAAAATTAATTAAACTTAAAAATAGAGGAAAATAAAATAGAATAAAGTAAAAAAATTAAGAAAATAACGTTAAAATGCTCATTTTTTAGCGCCATCGGTGGAAAAGTGCGGCGTACGGCTTCTGGAACTTTTGTCATCGGCATTTATATGGTAAGCTAATGAAAAAACTTAACTTAAACTTAAAATACACCCCAAAAATCAGATTTTTGAGCCAGAAATGAAGCCAAATTTGGGGCCAACTAGCAGAGATTTTTGAGGAATTTTCAAATTTTCCATTTACCCGATCTTTCAGCTAACAAAAGTGCTGTTCGTGGCCAACGCCCTCCTCCAATTCGTGCTCCTGAAGGGTTTCCTCGGCGTCGACACATTTTTCTGGGGACTACAGGTTTGAAAAGCTATATTTTAATTTAATTACATTTAAGGTGTTCAACGACATTTGCTCGGGGCGGGAATGGCCGCAGAGTGGCAATTTTCCTAGGTAAATCTTTTTTAAAACGGAAAAACTTCGAAATTGGGCGATTTCTGGTCTGGGTCGATTGTTAGTGGGTTAAGCCATCAAGTGAAGGGCCGGGGTTCAATCCCCGCGGGTGTAAAACTTTTTGATTTTTGGTTTTACGAATTTTTTATTGTTTTAGAATACTTGTTTTTTAGGGTAACTTTCTGCGACTTTGAAGTGCGTGTGCTCGGAAATCTTCATCGCCACTCGGTGCAGTGTGTGTTGATGATCAACATGTTCAACGAGAAAATTTTCATTTTCCTGTGGTTCTGGCTGTTCCTCGTGCTCTGCTACAGGTCGGTCTCTCTTTCTCTCTCTCTCTCTCTCTCTCTCTCTCTCTCTCTCTCTCGCTTTCCCTATCCCAAAAATGCTGATTTTTAGCGTGTATTCCCTGTTCTACTGGCTCTCCACCGCCTTCACCACGTCCTATGGAAAGAAGGTGGTCCGGCATTATATTGAGAAGGTAGGAATTTGTGCTTTAACGGTGGGGGTTCTCAAATGGTCTCTTCTAGCCTGCCAATTTCAGATCGATCCTCCAACTGGCGATGCCGAGTACGACCACCACAAAAGGCAGCTTCTCGAGGAGTTTGTCGTGGATAAGCTGCGTACGGACGGAGTGTTTGTACTCAGGTATGGTTTAAAAAAGAATAAACATTGATAAATAGTAAATAAAATTATTTAAAGTCTAAATACATTATTTCAGGCTGATCATGTCGAATTCTGGGGATATGATTGCGTGCTCGTTGATAAGGACGTTGTGGCAAGATTTTGTGAAGGTAAGCTAGCCCCATGTCTCTCTCTCACTCTATCTCCCTCCTTCTCTCTCTCTTTCTCGCTCTCTCTCTCTCTCTGTTTCTGACTCGCTCGCTCGCTGTTCCTCTCCTCCTTCCCACCCTTCCTAGGGCGCGTTCCCTTCGCTATCCCCTTGTGCCTTTGGTGTAATGGCAAGTACTCGCGACTACCAATCTTGTGGTCAGGGTTCCAATCCTTCCTGCAGCAACGCTTTTTGCTTTTTTGGCTAAACCCACAGTAACCATCCCTTTTCAATGTGATCATTTTTCAGGAACGCGGCAGCCGTCCCCCACCTTACGAGAAGCCCAAACTCCTCCAGGGTGGTCTCCTTCCCGAGAAGGACCAAGAGAGCGCCTTTTAGCCTTTCACGCCTTTACATAGCGTAAGGTAGCCCAGATGAAGAGATTTATCACTTATCGAATTTACACTTTATTAGCCGATTAAGCGCCGGTTTTTAATTGTTTATGTAAACCACCGATTCATGCCGAGTTCCCGCTGCGATACAAAATACACATTCCGCCTCTTTCTCTCTCGGATGCCTCGAATATTTTGCTGTGCTTTGTGAGCTGTGATATATGATCGTCAATGATTGGATAACAAGGATTTAAGATAAAAAAATTATAATTTGAATTTTGTGGAACTACAGTAGTGAAAAATACACGGAATATCGGATTAAAGACCGTCAATTTTTCATTTAATTTCCTTAAATAAGTCATATCTAAATATTATACGTATTTTAGCTATTAAGGTATTTCAGTGGCATATTAAATGTGTTTACACCGACGATTTTTTAAAAATAAGGTTTATTCAGTTTAATTAATTTAAAAAAAATTTTGTAATTAAATTTTTAATTTTTGAATTTTTAGTTTCACTCAATTTATATACCTAACAACTACCGTATAAATCGAATAGGGCCCTCTACAGTACCCATTAAACATTTCAGCCCGCCGACTCGACCCGACAAGGTCGAGCCCTAGTTGAGGTCAGGGCGCTTCGCAGTGGGCTAACTTTTGGCTGGCTGCCAGGAGACTGGAATTTCGAAAAATGCTGCGGAAAAGTGACGCAATTTGGAGGGTGTCCGAATGGAAAAACCTCGGAATCAAAGGAGGATTCTGTTAGCACGATGAGCAATACCCGGGAGTAGTCCTTGAATTTTTGACGTTTAGCATCTGGTTATTTCACTCTCGCTCTCTCACTTTCTCTCTCTCTCTCTCTCTCTCGCTCTTTCTCTCTTTCTCCTCTCTCTATTCCGTTCTCTCTCCATCTCTCCCTCTCTCGCTCTCTGTCTCTCTCCTCTCCTTCCATCCGATTTGCATGTATGGACTTTTTCCGAGCGTCTGGACAACGCCAGCCTTTTCACAGAAACAGGCCTACAGTTCAGGACCAAGAGTCAAACATCCCAAGATGAGAGAGACAGAGAGAGAAAGCTGAAGAAAAGAGAACTGGGGCAAGGCAGGCTGTAAAATGTGCGAGGTGGACACGGCAAAGGGGGTTGGTAGGGGACGGCTATTGTCACATTGACGACTTGCAGAAATTGGGGACAGGTTTATTTAAAGGGAAAGGCAAGGGTTGGATATGGATTTTTGGGCTAAGGATTCCTACGTATTTGGAGAACCAGCGACGCGCGACGTACACGCGGGTAGCTGAAATCCGTAGAAAAAGCCTCTCCAGGGACTTTGAAGGGATCTGCACGCGAGAGGGAAAGAGGGAGAGAGACAGAGAGAGAGAGAGGGAGAGACAGTGAAGATAGAAAGCGAGAGATAGTGCGAGAGAGGCAGGGAGATTGAGAGAGACAGAGAGAGCGAGAGATGAGAGGGAGCTAGAGAGAATGAGAGAAACAGAGAGAAACAGAGAGAGAGAGAGAGAGAGAGAGCTCGGGAACGAGAGAGCATGAGAGCGAGAGCGAGAAAGAATGCGAGAGACTGAGCAAGGGAAAGCGAGATCGAGCAATAGAGACAGAGGAACAGACTGACAAACAAACAGGCAAACAGCCAACCCTTAAATTTGTATAGTTTTCCGTACTCCACCATTCGCTCTCTCCCTCTCTCTCTCTCTCTCTCTCTCTCTCACTCTCTCCCCTCCATCTGACTAATGATTCGGGAATCGTGCTCATTGTCTGTCTGTCTGTCTGTCTGTCTGTCTCGAGCAAGAGGGCCGAGGTATCCTCCCTCCCCCTCCATTTTGGGGGTCGTCCATTCGGAGATGCGAGAGGGTGGAGGGGCAGAGATTGAGAGCGAGGGTGAGAGGCGTGTCTCTCTCTCTCTCTCTCTCTAAAAAAGAGAGAAGAGGGGCGGTAGTAGCACTGTATCCCATCGATCCCCACCATGCCCCGGCCTTCTCGCCCCTCTTCTACCCCGACAGTTCTGTACTCTTTTTACGTTTTAAAGGGGGATTGAAGGTTAATTGGCTATAAATTCCGTTACTTTACTCTTTACGCTTCCAATTAATTTATCAAATTTGTTTATGGTAATATTAGAGTGATCTTTTGATTATTTAGCTGACTGCTCAGGCCCTTTAAATTTTCCGAAAATGACCTTAAAAGCATTTAGACGGGGAAAATTGGGAGTTCATTTCATCCTATTGACGACAAACGATTTCTAGCACTTCTCTGGCCCTCTGAAAGCCTGTAAAAAATCATTTAAAGGTCCAGGTAAGGTTCAAAAGCTGTGGATTCCGCACAAATTCTGTTTACGCCGAAATTTACGGATTTTTTTGTGTGATTTTATTCAATTCTGTGGTCCTTAAAAAACGCCGAAATTGTTCTAAAGATATTTGGAAGGATCGGATCTTACGGATTTCGTTCCATTCCTTATTACAACAGCCATTTAAAGCGAATTTAATGTTTTATCGTAATTTCTCGAATCTTTTTGAATTTGACTTTTTATGACTTCAACGTTCCTTTAAAACGCCGCAATTTTGATAAAAAGTCTTTAAAGGGACTTGGAAGGCTGCCAAGCTAGCTTCCGTTTGCACCATAATAATTATTATTTTTCAGGCGATTTACCTATTCCCGGCGGGCAGTGTACGGAGGTGTGGCGCGTAGCCCTAGAAGAAAAGAAGGGAACAAGCAGAAGACGATGTTCTTCATCGACGTATTTCTGAAGGGGCTGAAGCCGAATTATGATGATGATGCGGTGGATCGGTTGAATTACTACTACACCCCAATGTTGATCGTCATTTTCGCGTTGACGCTCTCCGCTAAACAGTGGGTTTTTATGGGTTTTTTGTGTTTCGTAGGCACCTATAAATTCCCAAATGCTCTCTGCTAGCTGGCCATTTCTTATCTGATCATGAAAACGCTAGCTTTAATGCTCTCGGACCTATATATTCGATCCCAATGAATCTCTGCTAGCTGTCCCCAAATTCCGAATCGCTCGAAACATATAATCTTGATTTGATATGTTCTCAAACGGTCTCTGCTAGCTGACCCTTTCGCCTAATTTTGAAAAGATCTTCTGAACGCTCCTAGAGCCCATTTTTAATTCCTAAATGATCTCTGCTAGCTTGCCCTTCCTCCCTGCGTGTTTGAGAAGCTTTCATTAGTGCTCCGAAGCTGTAAATTACCATTTTTTCCCAAAGAATCTCTGCTAGCCTACCTTGCACTTGTAGAATCAATCCAAAATCCGATTTTTTCCGAAATGATTCCTACTAGTATGCCCCTAAAGTAGTTTTTCAAAGGAATTTAGCAGGTAACGTGGATTCCACAATTTTCTACCGTAAGACCGTATCCTAGCGGATTTCGCTCTCCGGATCCGTCAAGTCCCAAATTTCTCCAATAATCTCTGCCACGCCCGCAGATTTCGAGGTCATTTATCGATTTTCTTCCGACGTCCATAGTGGCTTAGTGGAATGACCTCGCGATTTTGATTCGATCTGCATCCCGAATTTTTATCTCTCCGCCTCATCGCCGTCAGGGAGTTAGCCGCACAAGGGAGCGAATGGGAGGGGCCAGCCAAAATATCGAAAATGCGCATTTTAAAGGGACTATGACAGGGTTAATTCAGCAGATTTTGATGCCGTAATCCTTTGGGCACGGGCAGGTTTTCTTGAAATTACTTAAAAAACAACTTTGAAAATTTTTAAAAATCGCCGAAAACTTTTTGAAAAATGGCTAGTATGTAGAGGGTACTTTAAAGGCGACAAGACAACACTTTAATTCGCTGTATTTTCATACCGTAATCATTAAACCGCACCTCGACCTTGATTTCCCTACAACATCCTTGATTTCAAAATGTTTCGTCATGCTATTGGCCTCTGTCATTGTGAAGGCTAGAGCGGAATGGCCTTTATGCAAATTAGCCATCTCACCTCGCCGCCCGTCCCCTATTTTACAGGCCATACCATTTCTCAACTGACACCTAGGGGATTGATTGAATGGAAAGGGGTGAGAAAATGGGTGAAAAAGAATGGCAGAATTCTAAAAAAACACCGCTAGTAGGCCCTGTCAATTCCTAAAGGATCTTGGCTAGCTTGCCTTCCAAAAAAAGGCTTGTTGGCCAACCCCAAAAAGACCGAGAAATTCATCAAAAAATCCATGCTAGCTTGCCCCAGGGTTTCTGGTAATACTTAAACCAAACCATGTTCTAAGAATCCCTGCTAGCTTCCGGTAGATGAAATACTTTCCCCAATAATTACTGCTAGGCGTCCGCTAGCACCAAAGTCATCCTAAAGAATCTCTACTATTTGACCCAATTTCCTCCAAAGAATCTCTGCTAGCCCACCCATTTTTATTGGCAAGCCGAGAGGTAAACTAGCAAAGAGGATCACTCAGACTTTAAAAAATTTACGTTCTTCCAGATACGTCGGTCAGCCAATCAATGCTGGATTCCCGCCCAATTCACTGGAGCATGGGAACAATATTCCGGAGAATTACTGCTTCGTTCAGAATACATACTTCTTGCCCCTCAATCACTATATTCCTCATGATGTCGAGGAGAGAAATAGAGGTTGGTAGGTGGAGAGAGAGAGAGAGAGAGAGAGAGAGAGATAAAACGAAGAAAAGAAAATAATGTTTAGCCGTCACGATAGCCATTAATGTGCCGACTAAAACCAACAATTACAGGCTACTATCAGTGGGTTCCATTCATTCTCGGCCTACAAGCTATCCTTTTCTACCTCCCATCGATGTTTTGGCGTATTCTGAATTGGCAATCCGGTAGGCTACAAACTAAATATTACAGACTACAAACCACCCCTCATAACGGTTATACTCCGAAGACAATACAAACTGCAGATCATAAAATACACACTACAAAACACACCCACTTACGATTAAATCTCCTGAACTACAAATCACAGCTCTCTATTCCAGGAATCTCGGTGAAGAGCCTCATCAAAATGTCGAAAGACACCGGGAATATGGTGACAGGTTCGCGATGATTGTCGAGTTTTTTTAACCGGAATTTGGTGTAGAACGGAGACATCAGAGTGTAAAGGTTGTCGCGGCCCACATCTACGACTCACTGGAGACGCAGAAGAAGCTCGCAGGGCTCAGTGGGTAGTTGCGGTTTCTGGTGGCAGGCTAGCAGAATTGCCTTAACAACTCAGTGCTCAAACTCAATTTAACTGCTATTTCCAGGCCACATGACCCGTTTCGTGCACGAGGGCAAATATCTGACGTCGTTGTATCTGATGACAAAGGTCTTATACGTACTACAGGCTGTCGTCCAATTCTTCATCCTTAATAGGTAATAATGTTTTTCCATATCTCTCTCCGTCCTTCGCTCTCTCTCTCTCTCTATCTCTTTCCCTCGTTCTCTCTCTCTCTCTCGCTCTCTCTATGTCTCTCTCTCCCTATGTCCATATCTCGCTCTCTCTCTATCTATCTCTCTCCCTCGTTCTCTCTCTCTCGCTCTCTCTATCTCTCTCTCCCTATCTCCATCTCTCGCTCTCTCTCTATCTATCTCTCTCCCTCGTTCTCTCTCTCTCGCTCTCTCTATCTCTCTCGCTCTCCCTCTCACTCTCTATCTCTCGCTCTGTCTCGCTGTCTCTCTCTATCTATCTATCTCTCTCCCTCTCTCTATCTCTCTCTCTTTCTCCCTCTCTCTATCTCTCTCGCTTCATAATCCTCCATATTTCAGCTTCCTCTCCACCTCCTATTGGTTCTGGGGTTTCGGCATCCTTCGAGATCTGGCGTACGGTAGAGAATGGGAGGAGAGCGGACATTTCCCCAGGTAATTTTTACTTTAGGGTGGCCGAAAGAAAGTAGTTTAGCAGATCGATCCCTTTGAAAAGCCGGAAAACGTACAATTTGGACTTGCCAACCCCTTTAAGACGGCGGCAACCTTTTTCGTTGAACGTTTCTCCACGATTCCGTTTTTCAAAATTCCGCTTGTCTTCTTCACCCCTAAAATCAATATTTCCGCGATGTGTTGGACTAGTGATTGGCTGCGTTCAGAGGATGGTGGCGGACAAGGGGGGAATGGTCGATGCCACATTTTATGGGGGTCGCCTTTTAGTGGACAGGGACTGGGGAGAGGGGGCCGGAATTGCAGTCGAGCGGAATAATGGGAATTAGTGTTAATTCACCCGTTATAGTCCCTTTAAAATCGAAAAAACAACATAAAAATGATGGCGATATAAAGGCTTTCACTACATTCTTTAGGGTGACAATGTGCGATTTTGTGGTTCACGAGCTCGGGAAATAAGCACAGGCATACGGTGCAATGTGTGTTGATGATCAACATGTTCAACGAGAAGGTGAGGCAAGAGAGAAAGAGAGAGTGAGAGAGAGCGAGAGCGAGGGCGAGAGAATCGTCGAAATCGATAATTTATCCAATGTCAACCAAATTTTCAAAATTCAAGGTTGTCCAAGGCAAGAAATCTGTAATCCCTCTAAAATGCTGCTGCCTTCCAAGTCCCTTTAAAAGCCTAGACCCTATATCAATATTTTTCAGGTGTACCTGTTCCTGTGGTGGTGGCTCCTCTTCGTTACCTGCGCCACCCTGTTCTCTCTAGTCTATTGGTATTGGCAGAGTTCTTCTAGCAATGAGAAGGGACAATTCCTCGCCAAGTATCTCTCCGTACTCGGCCTCTATAATTCCGATAATAAGGATCGTAAGTGAATATCTCGTTGATGCGTAAACTCTCGAGATTTCAGACCGAGACGCGTTGAAGCGATTTGTTCGTAAGGGGCTGCGGGATGATGGACTGTTGGTGGTTCGGCTGATCGCTGCTAATGCTGGCGATCTGATTACGACAGATCTGGTATCGGCATTGTGGAGGAGATTCTTGGAGGATGAGGTACGCGGCAGAGACCATTTGGGATTTGAGAGTGGGACGGGCAGGCTAGCAGAGACCATTTGGGAATTGAGAGAGGGACGGGCAGACTAGCAGAGGCCATTTGGGAATTGAGAGAGGGACGGGCAGGCTAGCAGAGGCCATTTGGGAATTGAGAGAGGGACGGGCAGGCTAGCAGAGGCCATTTGGGAATTGAGAGAGGGACGGGCAGACTAGCAGAGGCCATTTGGGAATTGAGAGAGGGACGGGCAGGCTAGCAGAGGCCATTTGGGAATTGAGAGAGGGACGGGCAGGCTAGCAGAGGCCATTTGGGAATTGAGAGAGGGGGGACGGGCAGACTAGCAGAGGCCATTTGGGAATTGAGAGAGGAGGGCAGGCTAGCAGAGATCATTTTGGGAATTGAGAGAGGGAGGGCAGGCTAGCAGAGATCATTTGGGAATTGAGAGAGGGGAGGGCAGGCTAGCAGAGACCATTTGGGAATTGAGAGAGGGAGGGCAGGCTAGCAGAGATGGTTTGGGAATTGAGAGAGGGAGGGGCAGGCTAGCAGAGATCATTTGGGAATTGAGAGAGGGAGGGCAGGCTAGCAGAGATCATTTGGGAATTGAGAGAGGGAGGGCAGGCTAGCAGAGATCATTTGGGAATTGAGAGAGGGAGGGCAGGCTAGCAGAGATCATTTGGGAATTGAGAGAGGGAGGGCAGGCTAGCAGAGATCATTTGGGAATTGAGAGAGGGAGGGCAGGCTAGCAGAGATCATTTGGGAATTGAGGAGGGAGGGCAGGCTAGCAGAGACCATTTGGGAATTGAGAGAGGGAGGGCAGGCTAGCAGAGACCATTTGGGAATTGAGAGAGGGACGGGCAGGCTAGCAGAGATTCTTTAGGAGAATGCAGGCTAGCAGAGATTCTTAATACAAATTTCGCGAGCCAAGCAGGCTAGCAGAGGCCATTTAGGAACCTTACAACCTATTATTTTTCAGCTAAAAGAAGCAAAAGCAAACAACGGCAGCGGCGGTCCCGCCACGGCCCCCCTCGAAGAAGGAGACGAATTCTCGGAGAAGACCCCGCTACAGTAATCCTCCCCGGTTTAGGACATATTTTAGAATATAGCCAGCTCATATATTCATTTTCCCTCCTCACTTCACTGCCCCTTTAAAATGGGCCTCCCCCAATTTTGCAATACGTTTTGCGTATTCCTCTCTCCACGCGCTCACCCCTCGAACTCAGATGAATTTTAAAGGTTTAACATTGAATTTTTGGGCTTGAAATATATAGTATGATCTTTTGGATTCCTTATTCTCCGATAGTCCAAAATTCCGATTTTTCCCGATTTTTTTCTGGGCGGGGAACTGCCATCCCACATTAGCGGGGAGGGTCGCCGGGTTTAATCCAATTTTACGGTCCCCGCCCCCTTTCAGTGGCCGTCAAAAGTTGCGCAGTGGAAACTTGGGAAAAACAAGATTTAGGGACCATGAAAAATATAAAAATTTAATAGAACGTCTTAATCGTCTTAAAAGAAATCTCCAAAAATTTCGATTTCGAATTTCGATTTTTATCGAGTTAGCGCGACTAGGCGAGGACCCGGGTTCAAACCCCACCAACGCCACTTTTAGCCTAAAACTCTAAAAAATAGCTCCTGAAAAGTCGGTCGATTGTTAGTGGGTTAACCCGTCAGGCGGACGACCCGGGTTCGATCCCCGCCACCGCCAAACTTTTTGCTTTTTGGTATTTTTGGAGATTTCAGCTCCCACTACCCCCTGAAATTGGTGATATTCCACTTGTGATCGATATTGATGCTATTTCTCACGAAAACATTCCGATTCCCGCCGAGTCGTGCCTTTCATGAAAAAACCTTTTATGCAAATTTTGCCTGAAATGAGCTATTTTCGATTTTTTCAAAACCCATATTTTGCAAATATAGCGCCAGTTTTAAGTTTTCGCGATTTGAATAAAACTTTATTTTATGCCGTAATACCGTAATACAATATTATAACAAATATTAGAGAATTTGCATAAATAGACAATAAAAAACAGTGAAAACCACAAAATTGACAATTAGCACTTGCAAAAATTATAGTTAAGACGATTTTGAGCATGGTACAAAACGGAATAAAGTGGAATCGGCCTGGACGAATACGGTAAGGGGGTTAATACAGGGCATACGGTAGCTGGGGGCAAGGGATTATTTTTGGAACAAAATTTGCATAAAGGCACATGAAAACAAAAATAATAAAATAGCTAGATAAGATTAAAGTTGAAGTGACTAGACCAAAAAATGAAGTAAATCGAAAATGCAAATGTGGGAGGTATACGGTGGATTTTAAAGGGGGTGGTGTCAGGTGGACGGCTAGAAGGAGTGGATCGGCACGGAGAGGAACTCTTGGGAGGCCATTCCCGTGTTTCTGAAAATTGTGGTTAAGGCAGGCCAGTAGGGGAGCATTTGGGAACTTTGATCTCTGGGGGTGGATAGCATTGATTTTTATGGAATTCTGGACACATTCTTGGGCAGGCTAGCAGAGATTCTTTGGGAATTCGCTCTGGCAGACTAGCAGAGGTTCTTTGAGAAATATGTTACCTTCGGCAGGGCAGGCTAGCATGGATTTTTAGGGAATTTCCAGGGCTACCTGATCAGGCTAGCAGAGTTTCTTTAGGAATTTTCTGGCTTTGCGTTCCCCAGGGGCAAGAGCCGAGATCTTTTGGGGAAGCGCACGCTAAGAATCAGGACATTAGAGGGCAATCTAGCAAAGATCATCTGCGAAACCCCTAGATGTCGCTGGGCAAGCTAACCGGGATTCTTTGAAACTTTAAAACGCTTCTGGGACTCTTTAAAACCAACTTGTCAATGTCGACATTTGTCCATCTACCGCCATCTCCAGTCTTTAGTGAGAATTGCCACTGATCGTTTGAGACGGACCCACTGAAAAAGCATACGGTAGAGAGAGAGAGAGAGAGAGGGGAGAGAGAGAGAGAGAGAGAGAGGGAGAGAGAGAGAGAGAGAGAAGAAATATAGGGAGAGAGATACAGAAAAAGAGTAAGAAAGAGAGCTAAAACTAAATCCAACTCACTTATGAGGCAACCTCAACTCGGCCGGCTTGTTAAATTGCAATCCCTGAGGCCCGCAGATGACCAACGGGCTCAGGAGGGTCTCCCCGCGGCTCGGATCGATGGGTGGGAGGACTGATCCCTCTTGGCATACCTCAAAAAAAACACGTTATTTCATGAAAAAGTTTTAGTCCTTCAAAAAGCTATTAAATGCATACCCTGACGTATATCTCGTGTTTTTGGCCAATGGGTAGTGCTCCAGCTGGGATGCGGAGTTCGACTCGGCTCCCCGGGCATGTCACCACACCTCCCTCGGCTCCGACCTGAAATCGAGCGGTTTTAAAGAGGCTTGGAAGGCAGAATCAACGTTATCTAACAATCCAACGACTCCGTCAAGTTCAGGGAATATACGGTAAAACACGATTTTTTAATGATATCTAAAAATCCTAAATAATCTCTGCTTCTTTGTCAACCATTTTGGGTTATTCGGGGCGCAATTCCTCCATAACCTCCACTGGTTTTCCTGATTTTCGGTGGTTTGGGAGGACCGTTCCTCAAGAATCTTAGCTAGTTCGCCTAAGGTCGTTGATTGTCCGGGTAGTGTTTTCCTCAATAATCTTTGCTAGCTTGCCTTGGGTCGATAATTCTATGGTATTCACGATTCCCCAAACACTTCTGCTAGTTTTCCTGGGATTTTTATTTACTTTGAAGGTATACGGTTCCTTAATGATTTCTGCTAGCTACCCCTACGCAACACTCCAAATTACATACCATACACGACGCTTCTTCAACCACCACCGGTTCCTCTTCATGTTGATGTGTATGACCATTTGGTCGTGGCTCAGAAGAGGCCGCAGATGGCGATTCATCGATATTTTGAATCTAAAAAATCATGAAATACTTTTTGGCTATCCTAATTCGATATTTTGGATCTAGAAAAAGTTATAAACTACAGTAAGCCCTACCGTATTCGAGTGTCGATATTGTTGCTGTTGTTGTTGTCCATTCAATATTCTGCCTCCATTTTCCAGCAAATATCCTCCCCTCTTCTCTTGATTATTATTGGTGGTGGGGGCGGCGGCGGAAGCTGCCATTTACTCGTTCTCTGAAAATTAATGGTTTGCGCATCTATAGTCAAAGATTTCCTCAAGAATCTCGGCTCTCATGCCTTTTTCCACAAGAGTCTCTGCTAGCCTGCCATTTTTTGATTCCTTAAAGAATCGCTGCTAGTATCCCTTTTCACGAAAAATGTCTGTGAGCTTACGCTTCTCCAGGACCTCAAGACGATTCCTGAAGCCTTTCTGCTCGATTCCTCCCATTTCCTCACTAAACTCTGCTAGCTTGCCCCCAGTTTTAAGCTTTTTCAAGGTTGTGGCGGCTTTGAAAATTTCCAAATTCTCTCTGCTAGTTGCCCTAGCTAGCTCCGCGCATTAATGACGTCGTACGAGTGCCCAAAGAGTCTCTGCTGGCTTGCCCGCCTCAGTGGCCACTGCTAGCCTATCAACCCTGATCCGCGCATTAATGAGGGAGAATATGATAGAGCCGTACCTGTAAAAGCTATCTCAGTGTAAAGTTGTGGTTTAGGGGCGATAGCAGGTCGATTCCTCCCTTTTCCATCTCCTCCTGTCCATTTCCTTCCACCAACGGCTTCCGGCTGTACATATCGGCACTTGGGGGTTGAAGCGGGGTCTGAAATATGCAGATTAGAACCATTATCTAGCCCGAAAAGCCGCGCTAAAAGCTCAAAAATCTACCTGTAGTCGTTGGGTGACTTCGCGGAGTTGTTGGGCCGCATCTTCAAGCCTTTGATTTGCCTCTTCGCGTTCTCGGGTTGGGTCATCGCGTTTTTCCGGGGCTTCTCGTAGTCGTAACTAGAAATCTGGATATATGCGTGACAACATTTCTGACTCTCTCTCTTTCTCTCGCTCTCTCTCTTCCTCCCTCCCTCGCTCTCTCTCGCTCTCTATCACTGCCTTTCTCTCAAAACTCACACTCCCGAGATCGACATCAATCCTGCTCGACAGGTCCCCTCCACTCAACACAGAATTCCCTCCTTCTTGCAGTAATTGTGTGACACTGTATCCACCCTGTGGCCCTCCGCCATGTCCCATTCGAAGGCCTAAAAACGATAGAAATATTGAAATTGGTTACACGTGACCCAATTCTTTTTTAATTAGTTAATTCCCATGGTTAGATTCCCACTGCAAATCGATTAGAAAAGTATTAAGGTCGCTTAAATTTCCCCAAATACTTCTGCTAGTATCCATTTGTTAGACCTTTTAAAATTCCACAAAAATCACTGCTAGCTTGCCCCATCGCAGTTGCTTTCCGGCTGCTGTTGCTGATGAGGCCTGATGGTCTCTGCTAGCCTGCCACGGCTAAAATTCCCAAGAATCTCTACTAGCTAACCAGCCCTTTTTCGACGACCAAAAGGGTCTCTGCTAGAATGCCCTTCCAGTTTTCGAATTTTGGTGGTTTTTCAGGGAATCGCCTAAAAATCCCGGCGAATGGAATCCCGACAGGCGAAATGCGGAAATGCTAATTAGCTGCTTAACAGTAAGGACAGCGAAGCGTAGCCTGCCCCTCCCAAGTGTCACCACCCCTTTAATCGTTAGTAAAATGCACACACCATCTCCATTCACTTCATTTTTCGATTGTAGCGATATCGTATCCTCTTTCCCTCCATTTCCTTCTTCTCTTCTACCGTAATCCCCATCGTTCCACCATTCGTCATTGGGTCTCCTTTTAGCGGGCAGTGTCGAGTATCGATTCAGAAGGGGGTTGTGGGGGGCCATTTGAGGGCTTGTTATTGTGGTTGTTAATCGTATGAGTGATTAGAGGGGGCTGGGCACGGCACTCGAGAGAATGGAGGGCGGAAGGAGCATGAGGAGTGATGCTCACTTGATGCTGATGATCCACCACCTGTCATTGAGGGGGTTGTATCCCAGGCGAGGTGGCTTCTGAAATTGGAGTGGTATTGACGATGGCTCTCTCTCTCGCTCTCTCTCTCTCTCTCTCTCTCTCTCTCTCTCTTGTCACGCTCGCTCCTACCTGCTCATCGGTGATGGTGCAATATCAGAGCGTTGTGAGTGATCTCCGTAGTCTCCCTTCGAGGCTCTCCACATCTGAGATCGGCGCCTGGCGCCTTCGCGCTTGCTGCTGGGAAGAGGAGCACGTCTTCGAGTGGGATATTTGGTGGGAATTCTGGCATCCAGAGTCTCTGAAAATCGCGCATTAATGGGAGGTGTCCAAAAAGGGCGCTGTTAGCCTGCCTTCTCCTAAAGAATCTCACTGCAAGTCTGCCTTGGCCTCAAGAATCTCCAGCTAGCACACCCACTCCCTCTCTCAATCCCCAAATGGTCATCTGCCAGCTTACCCTCTCTGTTGCGAGGTGTGCAATCAAATCCCGCAAAGCATCAGAAACCATCCCTCTCCTTGACTTCCGCATCTACCGTAGCTGAAATTGTCAAATTCTAAAATCCGCCTCATCCACCGTACCCGACAACAGATGTGCATGATGTTTCTTGATAGCTGATGATTGTTCTGCCAGTTTTCTGCTGGATACATGGGCGCGTTCGCTTTTTTGCGGAGCTCCCTGGAAAGCGTAAGCAGGCGTAAAACGTAGTAGATTTTAACCTACCGTATCCTCGATCTTCCGTCCACATCGATTGAAACGACGATGGGGGCATATTGGGCGAGTTGGAGGCGTTCGATCTGGAAAAGGGGGCGTGGTTTAAAGAGACGGTGACCGTTCCAGAAGATCGAAATCCTAGGTGACACTGTCCCTTTAAAAGCGCGAAAAATTCCATTAATGTCATTTTTGCGCTTTTAAGGGGACTGTGACAGCAAAAAAACCATAAAGCCTACCGATTCTACCGGAAATATCCAAAACCGCGTGTTTTCCAGCGGCAATCAACTGGTCCACTGCTCCTGAAGGTAAAAGATAATCTCTCTCTCTCTCTCTCCCCTCTCTCTGTCTCTCGCGCTCTCCCTCTCTCTCTTACCTAATCTTACGATACCATCCGGAGGGATCGGCAAAGCGTAGTGAGTAGTGAGAAAGGAGTTGAGCACGAGCCATGTCGGCGAGGGGGCCGAGGAGGACGAGAGGCCTAAAAATAACGGGTTAAAGGGGGCTGAGAAGCCTGACAATACCTCGGGAAACTAGGTGTGCTGAGTGCGACTCGTTCATAGGCAGGTGGTGGTCGCTGGCTGCTGCTTCGGCTGGGTCACACAACACATTCTTGGGGAGGCTTTTCGTTCGTCTGGAAGCAAAAAAATGATGGGGGCTCTAGATGTCGGGGAGTCGGAGCTCATGCTCATATTTTGAAGGATGCGGAGGTTATGAATGTATATTTTTAGAGGGGCTATGTCAGGGGAGCTTGTTGCCGGGAGCTATTAGCCGGCTTTGAATGGAAGATTGAATTATAGGCGGGGAGCTAGAAGTTGGGAGCTGGAAGTGAGAGTGACATCAGAACATCGGGACCTAGGAGCTGAGATAGGCTCTAAAACGAACCTCGCATCCAACCGCCTCAATAACGTCCTGTTAGCCCCGAGCTTCTTCCAGAGATTCGGCCTGTTGTCTCCGTTGCTCTCTCCTCGCCATCCCTTCAGCCGTTATCTTAAAAAACAGCCATACTACCGTGATCCAAAATTCCACAGTACCTGATTGGGAATGACTCCCTTTTATCGGCTCTCCTTTTGCTGTAGAAGCCGAATAGACCCTGGCGGCTTGCCAAAGACCCACAGTGCCTAGGAAAAATAGGGGATTAACGGGGCTGGGAAGGGAAGTAGGTGTACCTCCCAAATAGCGTGTCCGTGACGTGGAAGATGTCGCCCTCATTGACAGCCAATTCGAGGGGGCTACCCTTCTTATCTTTGGAGAAATGGGCGCGGATGATAGAAGTTGTCGCCCAGCTGGTTGTTTCTGACCTGCTCGAACTCGGCGCGGGCGTGTTCTACCTGGAAAATGGATATTGAGGAGGATTATCTTTTGCTCTCTCCCTCTCTCCCTCTCTCTGTCTCTCTCTACCTCGCTCTCTCCTCTCCACTCCACCCGTAGCGTCACCCGGGATCATCAAGCGCCAAAAGTAGCTGAACAGCGGCCTCTCGTCACCCTCTCATACCCGCCCATTCACCCAAATACCATTAATGCGCCCACCTTAACCCCTACCCGATGATCTTATCCCCACAACAGACACCATGAAGGGCAGCTGGAGACTCGGCTGCCACGGCTGAGACGAAGATACCCAATTTCATTGCCACCAACTACGCGAATACCGACACTTCCGCCAACCTGTAGAATGAGCATTAATGAGAGGATTTGGGGTGGCCCTACCAAAGTGTGATTGCTCGGAGTCCGACATCATCCTTTTGACTTCGGAGGTAATAGTCGTATTCGTCGGGTGAGGCCATGCTGGTGGCTGGGGATGAGACTCTGAAAAGAAAAGATAGAGGGATAGAGAGAGCGCGAGAGAGAGAG